AGCAATGTGATGCGCTCGGAGATGGATTGCATTGAATCGAATATAATACTACTTGTTAGGTTTCTTGAAAAACGTTTTTACCCTCCCTGCTCATCCTTTTCCCTTTCCTCCAACACGCTCTTCCATGGACGCTTTCCCAAGATAGCTCTAACCCTCCGAAGACGACGATTTCAAGGATGGTACATAGGGAAGCAGGGGTGCACTTTGGGTGAAAATGTTCATTTACAATGACGTCATATTTGATAGGATTTATGCTATTGCTATTCACATATTATAAATGGGAATGTTCAAACGATTCCATCAAGTACTTGCAAAGAAGTGCTTTGCTCAAATTCCATCAATGACGAGAACACTCAGCTCAGATGATAGGCCTCTTGCTGTCAACATTCGACAGCATATTTGGCCAGCTATCATACGAAAAGCATTCCTCCACCGTCCTTTTACTTGAGTAAATATTCCCGGTACTTCTTACAGGAAACTGTACTGTACAACTTTTCAAATTGTCGTCTCCTTATTTTGGAATGTTTTAAATTTTTTACATATTTGATAAGAAAAATTACGAAAGGATGAAGAATAAACTTTTCAACGGTAAATCGTTCCCGTTTTGGGTAATCATTCTTGCTTTGGGATGCGCCTCGTATTAGACTTCATTCAGAATCGTGGTGGCGTTTTGATTGCCTAAATAGCCTATACAACGACTTGGGTGGCCAGCCGTTAAATAAATCAGTGCTTTTATCTTCTTAGACAAGTCTGGTACCAATAAACCGACCTCGGAGGAATGGATTGCTCCGTTGCTTTGAGTGAGCGTCGTTCAGGGACCCGATCCGCGGATCGGGCCTGTAATACTCATCCACATTACCTCTGTCCCACAAAAAAGGATGTACTTCAGAGCTGGGGCGGAGAAGGTGTAGTAGCAAGTGGCGCACTATCTCACACGCACGGTCACGGGTTCGAATCCCGGATCGATACCCGTCTAGGCTAAGCAGGCCTTCCATCTCTCTGAGGTCGGATAATTGGTACCACACTCGTCTGGGAGTATAGAAGCATTGACTTGTTCATCGGCTGGCAACCGCAAGTCATTGTATAGGTTATATACGCATTCCATACGTCACTACAATTCTGAATGGAAGACAAATTCGTGGCGCATCCTACAGACGGAATGAAATAACGCCGAAGGACTTTATCCTTTATCCTTCTAGACTCCTGATCACTGGCCACACCCATGTCAGGCAAGAAGTCGAGCCATAAGCGAGCTTATGGTTTGACTAGCGGACACTAGGCTTTTTTCCATACCAGAGACTATCGAAAAATGCTGTGAATAGGAGCTTTTGTATTGAAGTCGCCCATATCGATCAATTCAAGAACTACATAAAAATTATCATAAATTATGAAAAGTCTGTATGGAACAGGGCATTTCACAATCCGATGTGACTGTTCCGCAATGCATGACAATGCTGGCGATTATTCCGTCTGGCATCATTGCACACCTGATTCCATGTATGTACATTGTCACCCCAATTCGAATCCTTTCTAGTTTCCAAGATTTAGTTCCTCAGCCTCAGATAAGCAGCTACATTTTAGGGAGACGATGGTAATGGGACATATTTTAGCTACGAATGACTATTTGCTCTTTGTCAGCACCTTATTGACAGATCGAGGATATAAACTCCAAAATTGACCCCTACTCTTCTGTCAATGGCAGGTCCAACATTATCCTCCTAACACTATCACGAAGTTTCGCTATTTTCTTCTCTCCAAAATTGAAATCGATTACTTGTTTGCTTGTTTTTTCACTTTCTCATCTGTTTATTTATTTATTTGAATGCTATCGGATGAGCCAAAAATATTTAGAATATTCGGTCTAGACCGCAAATCGATAAAAGACTATAAAAATGCTCTGTGTGAGCTAGCTGCTAGTCACGCCATACACTTGGCTACCATTTATAATTGCGGCTGATTGACCTACAAAACCACCTACGAACATAGTTTGGGTTTGAGTCAATAATTTTCCCACTAAAACCGTAAGTCCAGTCAAGTCATAAGTCAAAACAAAAATGATACATCTAATCGATTGCTGAGAGGGTGTTTCCCATACCTGATTGTTCTAGAAAAAATCAGTAAAAAATCAAGTTGATATAATTACAAACTCCTAATAGGCTTTTAGTTCAAATTCTGGTCCATGCGACAAGTAAATCTAGTTTTTCCAAATAATACCTAGCGAATTTTTTGATTCTGCACTTTAGTCTTTTGAACTCTGGTTTGGGTGCCTCTATCAAATTCCATGAAATTATGAAAAAAAAANNAAAAAAAAAACATAAGATTGGAACTGACCTCGAATTCACTGAATGAGAGGTCCTTGATGGAGTAACCCATCACTACTTCCATCTCGAATCTCGGGTCCATCACCACAGTCCTCTGAAAAACAATCGTATTTATTCGTTTATTTATTTCCCACATTCGATAATGTGCCTTACTTGAACTGCGGGATTGCCACTAACAAAAACTGATTTACCTTCCTCTAACTTTCTTATTAATGCTTTTAATTTATCTTGTCACTGAGGACTTCCACTTCACGGCGAAAAGTATAAACGGGACGCGAAAACCTCCAAACTCTACGACATATCCGTTCTTGTTGCATTGATTGTTCTCGTACCAATCTCATCTACTCCATCGATCAATAACTTATGAATACTCATTAGGCTTTCGCGATGTTCCACGAATTTCTATGCCAACGCCAACTATTATTTTCTCTTGTACAGCTCTAGCTGACGAGATAAGCTCCCAACTCCCAGACCGAAAAGCATTGCGAACTTTGGGTAGGTGGAACAGCACAGAAGGCAAGGAATCAATTGAAGGGCTGGTTTTGAATTGAAGGGCAGAATCTCGAATTTTTAATTCAGGACGGGAGGAAGTGCTCCATCCAATAGTACGGGCTAATTGCTCCAGTTGAGGCTGCTAGATTCAAGCCTTCATGGTTTTTCTCTCAAACGCATAGCCTCTGCCGAGGTGAATTATCTGTTACCCTTGCCTATAACATTTGCTTTATAAACCCTCAATGATAATCTTCATAGACAAGCAACTATGAGTTCTGAAACAACTAACTAAGAACAGCTCGAAATGAAGGCGGGAGATTCGATGGTGACACCGTTGGCCACCACTCGCTTTAGGGCTAGCATTTTCTGTTCACTGTCACTTTCCACGCATCCCCTTCTATGCTCACCCTATTATTCACCGAGACAGTCTTCGAATACTCGAATTATCAGGGCCGAAAATTCGGGAGACGCAAAGATGTGTCAGTAGGAGTCAGTTGGTCAGTCAACTATCTGGACGTCAGTTTTTTCATCGGCTCACTACAGCTACTTTTATCCAAATGATACGAAAGTAGCCTCCTTTCTAATTAGTAGCCAACCGATCTTTGACCTCAAACTTGCCACCCATAGGGCGATGAAAGAAAAATAAGCCGTTTCCAAAGTGCAGTGTAATTTGATAGCTTAAGAATGAGCAGGAAATCAAACTGAAATCAAAAATGGAAGCGATTCATATCAGAAGGCATGAAATTAATTTTACTGGAAATTATTTTTCGAGGGCACTGCAAAGGCCCTTATTCAACGTTGATATTCGGACATTTGCTACAAGCTTCAGGAACCCCTGGCCTCCATCTCGACCGATCCCTTTACACTTCCTATAAAAATCGGTATTTACGCCTCAAGGGGTTCTACTTTCCCATTCTATAAAAATCGGTATTCACGCCTCAAGGGGTTCTACTTTCCTATTCTATCTCCACAGTCTGCTAACAGTCAGCTTACGGTGAATTTTTGGAGAAGTTTCTGGAGATCCCATAGTTTAAACATGGAGTTTAACTCATTTACGATAATGTTCGTGATTTCATGTATACTTCATTTAGCGAGATTTTCCTGTATTTGATATGTTTTTCGTTCTTTAGAAGCAGTTATTGATCTTTTCATTCCAGAAATAAACCTGCATTCTATTTGACGAATACATCTAACGCATTAGTATTTTCGCGTCAAAGATATATATCTCTATAGGGTCAGGAACGGGTCCGAAACTGCGACTTCCTGGCTTTCTTATTCATCCATGCCCTGCGAACGCGCTGCTCTTTCGTGAGCTATATTCGAGGTTTATGCCTCGTGNCAATTGGTGTCATTCGGTCTAAATCACCTCTTGTTATAAAACAAAACCTAGGGGGTGATGGATGCTATCAAAGATTGATACTCATGAGACGGCTCCCATACTGAACAGGTCCGCAGGAATTTAAACGGTGAAGAGGAAGCCTATACCAGTTTATTGTCATGCCGTCGAGGAGATAAGCAAATAAACTAGCAGTAAATCCCTGACTGGGGTATCTACGCCCAATTCCTTTTCAGGATCACTTTTGTGAGGGATTCCAACCAATTTCCGGTACGTTGGTAATTTTTGGGGCATTCACATTGGGAAAGCTGGATCGCTCATAACACAAAAGGCAAGTAAATAAACAAGTTAGCGAAAAACGGTGAGAACTGTTAGAAACTCCTGTGCTTTTTGGTGAAGAGCATATTGGTAGCATACGTTGGCCATAATCGTTTCATCGAATGACACACCTTTTTCCACGAGTTTCGGCACCTACGCCTCGTTCCTTCTCGTGTTTTCGTGATAGCAATGAAATCGATGCTCGAGATAAGGTGATTCAGCTGACCGTTCAGCTATACAAGTAGCCCATGGGTTTTTCGCTTTTTTTGCAAATAGGGAGACACTTCTAGAGCAGTAGATTTGTTTCCCTATCTTTCCATAAAATAAGGACTATCGTTCTGCTGATATCTGACTATAGTCACTCGGACTTGGTCGTCATCACTTGTTTATACTTATGAGAGGCATTTGAGCCTAGCCGAACATATGAATTCCCTCTGTTACTACATCTCTTATCGTCGGACCCTCTGTTCTTTATTTCAACGTGTGGCCGATTATGCCCAAAATTCCTCTCTCTCTCAGGAACTTTCAAAGTAATGACTATGGATGAAAACGATGCGGTACAAGATGTAAAAGTGGTTCTCATCGGCGATGCAGCAGGTCCATATTCTTCTTCTTACAAATTTGTTGGCAACTATGAGATTCGCTGGCCTTGAGATTTTTTATGCAATGCATGCTCCGAAGATTACCGTGTTTTCAGCAGGGAAATCGGCGATCATGAAGAAATTCTTCGACGGAGTCTTCGATGACGACACCGCTACCACTATTGGTATCGATTTCCGGCATATCACTTATCAGCTGCAAGATGGAACGGTTCGCTTTCACTTAACATATGGTAGTCCTTACTTGATTGTGAATAATTTAAGTGGATTCCTATCAAAGGTTGCCCATATAAAGTGCAAGAATAAAAATTCCCACAAACTTAGCGCACCCTAATGACTCGCCTACTGTTGTAAATGGGGATTGCCTATGTAATAGTAATTATAAACAACTCACTGTGAACAAATTCTAGTGGTGGTCCTTCTTTTGAATTGGTTCTTTGTAGCAGATTTTCTATTTCTCAACGACAACTTACTGAAATCTTTACCTTCCTCAACCCTTTGACGACAGCGCGCCTTTTCTGGCGCTGCGCAGGCGCATTTCGAGGCTTTCCGCTTCCGCGGCTCACCGTAGAACCGCGCTACTCCACGGTTGATACATTTTCAAATATGAACGATTTTTACTTTTTTCAAGCTTTTTTCATGATTGAGCTTGAAATGAGGGTCGATTAGATGATTATGAGTTTTCAACTTTAGTTACTTCTGGGTTCATGCGTTATATAACTTTTAGAGTCGAAATGAATCAGCCTGCAGTGGACGGTTTGGAGAGTGGTTTTGAAAGACAATTGGTCGAATCCGACGAAAGTAGAGAGGGGCCTATAAGGATTTTTTCCCACAATTATACCCTTGCGTATTTGTCGATTAATAGAACTGATTCGAAAAGTAAAGAGACATTNCAGCTTATGGAAGTGTCTACGCTTCCAGTAATACAAGATGAGTCAATACTAGGACAGTAGCTGTAAAATCCTTTTTGCATTGACAGTTTTCGAAAAATGCACAAAAATGTGATTTTCAACGAGAGGATCAGATTTATCAATAGTATTCGGAAATTAACAATCTTTTCTCAGCCTACTTTGTGTACAGGGTTATTTGGTGATGGTGATTGTAAACCCACTAATTACGAAAAAACTCCAAAAAAGCAAATAATCAAGGAAAGCAGCTAATGAGATGGGGCGGTTCAACGCTGAGCTGCGTCGTCGTCAAAGGGTTAAAAAATTTATGGGTGGAGCGCTGTCAAGCTATTCTTTCAACCAGTTGACGGGCATGGTTTTAGACTCACCAGACCGAATTAGGCGCATAAATAAACAACTGAATGAATTATTCTGCCATTTTCCACCGCGCTACTACTGATAGGCTCCATTCCGAACAAAGCCATAACTATGGAGACACCATACCTCTTTTTCAGGCATTATCAGTTATTTTCGCGGCAATCATGAATTTGGCATGCTTCACGTTTTCTAATAGTTAACATTGACTAAACCTTATAACCATCACTGTTTACTATTAAAGACGTAGCTCATGATGAAAATGATTTCTAAGATTCTTCCCTAGGATGTACCTGTGACACCGAGGGATAGCACAGGAGACGCTGTCAGATGGAAAAACCGGCCGGTAGAGGGCGTAACAAGGGCCCTATTTGGCTCAGCCGACGTACACACCCAGAGCGGACGAGTTTCCACGGCGTTGTAGAGGCTGAGGAGGTTTCACTATGCGCACCGGGACGCACGCGTCGCATGCAGGCAGCTTAGTGTAGCCAGCTGTACGCAAGGGCACACACAGTTGGAAACTTTCATCCAAACACCCCTTATATGCAGTTTTTTTCATAACATTCTCGTTCAACCCCGAAACTTACTACTTTTTGAAGTCTAATATTGCTCCAAATACGTCTTTGCCACTTCTGTTCTATTCTGAACCTGAAGCTCGAATGGGACCTCCTCTGTCCTGCAGAAGCAAATCGGTCAAAAGATTTTGCTGGCATGAGATTTTTTCATTAGGAATAAGTTCAAAGGTTTTGAGTTTTTAGAGGATTCGCCTGCAAGTATGGGACACCGCTGGACAAGAACGATTCCGGAAACTCGCTCCATCATACATCAGGGATGCCCATGTAATTCTGATAGTCTTCGATCTCACTTGTGAGTTTACCTTTCATGCCTCGAATGATTAACACTCCCAGAGAAACGTGTGCGATTAGATCAAAAGAAGATTTGTCGTTTCAAAATTTCGTTGATCCCTTGAGACATCTTCTTATGATGTAATCCTGTAATCTATGCCCAACAGTGCATCAAATACAGGAAAAAGGTCTTGAAAAGGTTATGCTCTCAGACGATTCTCGTACCAAATAAGGTATCCTGGAATGAAGGAGGGTTTCCCTAAAGGGTACTGATTGGGGTTTCGATCCCCAAACNACAGTGCATCAAATACAGGAAAAAGGTCTTGAAAAGGTTACGCTCTCAGACGATTCTGGTACCAAATAAGGTATCCTGGAATGATGGAGGGTTTCCCTAAAGGGTACTGATTGGGGTTTCGATCCCCAAACCATGCGTGTAATAATGCGCCCTTTGGTACTACACCACCTCCGCCCCAATTACAGAATAAAGTCGAACTAGAAACAGTATTTTTCTTCACAGGCAAGTCGCCTTATAGCCATTACTGCCCTATTTCATTACGATGCTCATTCCCGCATTCGTTCTGATTTTTGCTACTAATTTTTCCTTGATAACTTCAAAATAACACCTCATTAGGATTAGATGAACTCACCTCTGTATACCAGCGCACGATCAAGAAATGAAAGATCAAGGGACACCATCAGAATCAATATAGACCGTTTGCAGCTACGAATATTGTTGAACAAATCGCTCGATGGACTTTTTTCGCTGAAAAGGAGCGGGAAGATGGAGCGTTGGTGGTGCTTGTTGGTAGCAAATGTGATCTCAGGCAAAGGTGGTAAAGTAATGTTGCTGTAGCAGCTTTCACTCACCAAAATTGACTTCTTTCAGACGACATAATAAGTTTATCATGGAGCGAATGATGGCTGAATATAATGCGCCGTATGTGGAAACATCTGCAAAAACAGGATTTAATATTGATGAGGTGAGTTTTTGGTAAGGGTGACCAAAGATTCTCTGAATTCAACAGTTGATAGTCGTAACTAGGAGGACGAAAGCACTCCTCTAAATTCAGAACCAAGGACAAAAAATATGAAAGACCATGAGCTCGGGCAAACCAAATTGGGATGCGCCATGCATTTCAACAACTTTTAAAATCGCAGAGAATGGAATGCAGTTATGGCCAACGAACTTCCTTTAGAGGCTTGCCAACGCCCACTCCAGTTACCTTACTTACAGGGAAATCTGCAACATATTTCAACAGTTGATAGTCGTAACTAGGAGGACGAAAGTACTCCTCTCAATTCAGAACCAAAGGCAAAAAATATGAAAAACCATGAGCTCGGGCCAACAAAATTGGGATGCGCCATGCATTTCAACAACTTTTAAAATCGCAGAGAATGGAATGCAGTTATGGCCAACGAACTTCCTTTAGAGGCTTGCCAACGCCCACTCCAGTTACCTTACTTACAGGGAAATCTGCAACATATGACGTATCTTCATGACGAAGAAAATAAGAGTCAGAAAAAAAGCTTCATCATACACGCTTTTTTTCCTACCCCAGTGTCACCTCTTTCAAAAGACATTCCGGAGTTTACAGTTTTCACTAGTTCTTAGAGTGATCAATGTCCCCCCCCCCCCCCCCCCCCCCCCCCCCC